CTGAGTTGCAGATTCTTTTCTGTGGATAAGGGAGTGTTCTTCCCCTCTTCCTCCTCCTCCTCCTCTTCCTCTTTGCTAGCCTTTTTCATACAGCTGACATTTTGGGGGTGGTGGGGGGGGCTGGAGAGGATCAGTCTGGGGTCGGGGTGGTGACCCACTTCCTCACACCTGCACCATCAAACAGACTCAACTCCTCAGAGCCTTTTGCTCAACAGCTTTCTATAGCCGTTTTTCTCAGATTTCAGCAAAATTTCTAAGAGAAGTCAAACACAATCCATCCAAATCAAATGTATCATATTTGATACGTACGGTTTCTGAATTTTTTTTGCGTCTTGACACCTTTTGCATAATTTAATGGTAAAAACTTTGTTCAAAATCCTATTGTACACAATCAGTTTCTCCATGACCCCCCCCCTCCCTCATTGCTCCCCCCCCCCTCCCCTCTTCCTCTCCCCCTCGTGTTGTTTTGGTTTTGTGGAAATGAGAACCAGATGTTGCTTATTGTGCAGAAGTCAGCGATGGAAGGGAGGGAGGACCAGTGGAGGTTTCAGAGGAGGGGGGTTCAGGGGGGGGGGGGTGTGGGGGGGGGGGGGGGGGGGGGTCGGCTAGCATGAAAGGTAAATGGAAGAAAAAAGGAGCTCAAAGGATGAGCCGGATGTGGTTGGATGTGTGGGTAAACCCAGAGGGGGTGATTAGGGGGCGTGTTTCGTGCGGGGGGGAGGGGTAAGGGGGGGGGCAGAGAGGGTCTGAGTCAGCAGTTTGTTCATAAAAAACCTCCTCCTGACCTCTTCCTGCCCAGGTGCAAACACCACCACCTGGAACCCCACTGGCCCCTTTTTCCTGCCTCTTAGAGAGATAAAACCCTCTAAAAACCCTCTGAAACCCTCTAAAAACCCTCTAAAACCCTCTAAAAACCCTCTTCTGCCAAGTCAGTCTGTAAAAATATCTCTTTAGTCGGACATCCCAGCACCACCATGCACGGACTAAAGAGTTAGCACGACTCATTTGGAGCCATTTCACCGGATTAGAGTGGAAAGAAGGCATAGAAATGTCCTTAAAATGTTTAAAAGGCTTAATTTGAAAGAGTAAAAAGCTCAGATAAAAGACAGAATAGAGATAAAGTGGGCGTCCAGATAAGAATATCTGAGTTTTTT